CCCCCCCTCCATATTTTTCTTTTTCAGCTTGCCCTGAAACCCCCCTGCTCTTGGGGCCAAAACCTGCGAATAACAATATCGGGGTGGGAACTACCGAAAAAGCGCCCCTAATCCTAAACCCTACCCCTACCACAAACCCTGCCCCTCTGTTCTACTCCGTCTCATAGAGGTCGCTTGTTACAGAAGTCCTGTCCAGTAGATCTTTTTGTCCATTTAAGCTCCCATGTATATTCGGACATCGGACATGTGTGTCCTTCTACTCTAGCATGAATGCGAGTACCGAACATTGTGGGTCTTTTTCTTTTTGTGAATGACATGCTTTTCTTTCTTTTTTGGACAAATGCATCTTTGCCGTTTCCATAAAATTGCTGTGACTGGGAAATGCGCGATCAGCATTGAAAGGTGCTGAAAACAATCTCTTCCGGAAATGACCCAAGGGGGGCCAGGGCTGAGGCTCCACAGGATTGTGTCCATGTCCGAATTGTCATACCGCACATCACACACACATTATAACATACAAGCACGCACATGTAACAAGCCCGAACACTTTTGTCCTAGTTGCAGGATATAGGCTAGTGATATAATTTTTAAGCTGGAAAGTGGGAACATAGGCACCGTAGTGGCAGAGGTTCTACCCAAGCAAGTTTTCTTTAAATTAACCAATGCTCGATCACAGGTTGGCAGTAATGATACACAATAGCAAAGACTTTTACATCCCTCAAGCATGGAGGCTCTTGAAGGGAAGTGGCTCTTAGTGAATGCTTAAAGGTCACTAATCCCGTTGGTTGATCACGCAGTAGTAAAATTATCGAAAGTTTTACTACACTCAGAAGCAAGCATAAAATAATATCCCTTATAAATGTCCCAAGTACATAAGAAACAACAATGAGACACTCTTTCTGTGGCGTATTTTGTTTTTCTATGCAGTGAATAGACACTTTTTGATTATAAAGTTGAGTGAAAAACAGCACAGCATCTTTCCCCCGTCAGCAGGACAATGGTTAGTTCTGAGTGCCAATGAAATTGCAGCATCATGTTACCCTTTCCTGTCGTTTTGTGGCAGTATTTCTTTATGCACCTGTGTAAGACATTGCCACAAATTGAGACCATGGAGTTAAAATAGGAACAGGATTTGCAGGTAGGCCTAGTAATCACTCCTGTTTAGAAATATGTCACGTTGATAACTTTTCAAGAATGGATTAAATGCAGAGAGAGAAATTCAGGGTGTTTCTGTCTGTGATGCTGATCAGACATAGAGGGAGCAACCCACTTTTAAAAATTTCATCCTCATGTTAAGTGCTAAGAGTGCTTATAAATGCAGACCTGCCACTCATCCCGATTTAATTGGGATACCCGATTTTTTGCCCCATATCCCAAGCATCCCGATTTTGATCATGTGTGTCCTGAATTTTGTTCTATCTGTTCCACCGGATTTTTCTAAAACTTTCTCTGCCGTCTTCTTTGTAACGGGAAGTCCCCATTGAACTTTTTGCCAGCAGGAAGTCGGAGCATTTTTTTCCGAAATATCGATGCTGAATTTAGTAATTGACTTGCCCCAAGTTGTGCTGGATCTTTGCTCGCAGGTGTTATTTCAACTACACATATGTATAATAATAATAATCAAAGTACAGTATTGGTTTGGCATTCCAACTTGGAATATTCTGTAGGTCTACTTTCGCTTTTGTTACCACTCAGAATTCTCCGATGATGGCCTGATAACTGTTACAATTGCGACATACAAATGATCAATATTTTTCCTAGTTGTGCTGTAATTGTAAAAAAAACCCAGCTTCGTCAGAGTTCTTGTTAAATCAGGCCCATCATCAAGACCCATCAGTAAAACTGTTTCAATACTTCAGTCGTGTATTCGCATCATGTGACATGACTTCGGCGTGTGAGATCCATGTGTATCGGGGACCGTCTGTTGATGGGGTCAAATTAAGTTCATGCTCACTGGTTGAAACGTCTTTCGGGACTCGAGGGGGGGGGGGGGGGGGGGTTAGACACTTGGAAGAGGTAGGAGTGCTTGACATGATACTTCAGGATTAAGAAAAATGATGATAACACACACGCGCACACACACACACATACATACACACACACATACACACACACACACACACACACACACACACACACACACACACACACACACACACACACACACACACACACACACATACACACACACACACACACACACACACACACACACACACACACACACACAATCACATTTTGCTAAGACAACTGCTTTTCTCCTCATCAACAGGTGGCCATCTTGGACAATTTTGACTATTATGGGTATTCTCTTCCTTTTTGTCTCTTTTCAGTGAAGCACTGATGATTATTGAACTGTTTGAAGGAACAAATAGTTCTGCCAACAGTATGAACAGCTGCAGTGATGTCACTAGGTGGACATTCAGAGAGCAAGCATCTATCATTTCCCCACCGTCTGAGCACAAAAGTCTGTCATTCTCTTCATGAAGGTAAGCCAGAAATGCCAGCTTTGTTCTTGCAGACCCGCCAACCTTCCCGGATTGTCCGGGAAATTCCCTGTTGCACTGCCCCATTCCTGACCTCCTGCTTTTGGCTGATATTTCCCAAATCGGGGTCGACATTAACGTGGTGCAGCTATTATGATTAAATTTTGTACCGAAATTACGAAGTACGAAGATACTCAATGGTCGAGCATCCGCCTCATTCTTCTGGTGTTCGTATTTGCCACATTGGCCATATATAGGTCAAACACTTGAGGTGAACTGCGTTGCCAGTTGTTTTGGCCGTAGTGTGGTAGATCGGGTCAAGATTTTGGCACAAGACTGGGAAAGGTACCTGGAAAGAAATGTAATACTGCTTGGTCTACCTTCCGAGCAGTCTCCCGTTTAGGGTCTAGACCCCAGTCGATCAAATTCTAGTTGAATTAGATCGAGATCTTCATGCACTGCAGTGTCAGTGTTGAGTGTGTTCTTGACTTGGACAATGGATAAATTCGTTAAAAAACTATCTGCTCTTTTCATTGTTGAAATTTAGCATTTTTGTGTTTCTGTATCTTAAATCTTGGTTAATTATCAAATTCTAGTGGTATTAGAACTCATGCAGTATCTCAGTCTGTGTTGAGCATGTTGTTTAACTTGGACAATGGATAAATTCGTTAAAAAATGATCAGCTTCTGACCCTACCGCATCGTCTGATGCTGAGCCTGCAAAGAAGAAAGCAAAACCAGCCACCAAGTTAAGGGATGACTACACCAAGCAGTGGCCTTTCATTAAGCCATCAGTGAAAGGGGAGTCATTTGCAAGATGTGTGCCTTGTAATTCAGAGTTTAGCGTTGCAAGTGGTGGAAAGGATGATATTACCAGACATTTGAAAACAAACAAACATGTGGCAGCTGTTAAAGACAGTGATTCCAGTACAAACATATGTACCATATTTATGTTCTTATATGACACATGTTTATATGCCCGTAGGGTGCCAATGGTTGGTACCTGTAAGTACTCGGGAAATTTTCCATCTTTTTGACTTTGAAAAATTGGCAGGTCTGTTCTTGTATCATCTAAGAATTGGTTTCACTTTAACTCCTTATCTCCAGCAAGCGGCTTCCAGTGGCTCGCAGTCGAAACCGATGTGCCGGTGAACCGCTAGCAGCGGCTCGGGTACATTCTTTTACGACGACTGCGATGTCAAATTACTTTTCAACAGTTTTCAAAAATAGGTCTTCTTTATTTGGAGTTCATTCATTAGATGAAGAACTAGCAAAATAGGTTCACTTGTTTTGATTTAATGACCAATTTAGTAGAGACGTGTATATATTAATATACATATATATATATATATATATATAAACATGTTTATATATATATATATATATATATATATGTTATATATATATATATATATATATAAACATGTATATTATATATATATTATATATATATGTGTGTGTGTGTGTGTGTGTGTGTGTGTGTGTGTGTGTGTGTGTGTCACTTTTAGATTTCTGACCAAAAGAGGTCCCCGGCATAGTGGGTTTACCTCCCTCGGAGATTGAGAATTGAGGCCATCTCTAGTGAGATTACTGTCTCCGTCGCTCGTTGTAATATTTAAGTTGCAGTTTGTTGTCGGAATGTTTATTTTCCTACTTATGCCCCCTCCTGCCCACCCAGCAGTAATGGGTACCTGACTTCAAGTTGGGGAAGTAAAGGCGGCGTGGAAAGGAACTGGCCACCCTACCACAATATGCCGAAGGCCCAGAAAGTTGTCTTACTAACAAGGCAATCCCCAATGTCGGGATCGGATTCGGGAACAACTCAACTTATAACGGGAATAAAAGAAAATAGGACAACATCTTGGATTTTAACTGTGGCTTTAGGGGCTTGTTTCTGTGTCCCTAATAGTGGAATCTGTGTCATTTTTGCACATGTCCGGTTTAATTTTTAAAGCAGAGTCACTTTCTTGGTTTAAAAATAATTTGGTGCTTGAAAAAAATGTAAAATAACAACAAAAAATATAAGTCCGCTTGCCTAATTTAGCCAAAGAAACTAAAACAAGTACAAAATTTTTTTGAAATTGTTCATTTGCTTTGAAGAGGAATGCAGGGTTACCATATAAATGAATTGTGATACTAATTGAATGAAACTACTCAGAAATAGCTATTGTGTAAAGTGAACCTAGAATATCACCCCCCCCCCCCCCCAAACAAAACAAAACAAAACAAAATTAAAAATTAAAAGAACCTAAAAAAACCCCTAAAAAACAGGGGGTATGTCCAGTTTAAGCAAAAATGAGGAAGCCAATTGAGCAAAAAATTTGACAGTGACAACTTGGTTTGGCCCTGACAGGCATGGTCGGAGCATCCCGCATTACAAGTGGTCTAATTTGTGTCTATGAGGGCATTGAAAGTCTGTTTTACCATTAGAAAAGAATTTGACCAACTTGTGTTTCATCAGATACTAGGTGTTACAGTAGATGGTCACAAGTGGAGAATTAAACTCGGGATTATGTCAAACTTTGCTGTAGAGAAGAGTCTATGACTCAATCTTAACTGACTATAGCTCGGTTTTGTGTTTGGAGTTTTCTTTCTTTTTTTCTCCTCTATTACTCTCAATTTCCCTAAAAGTTAAAACATCTTCTGTATAAATTAATTCCCGTAGCCCCCCCCCCCCCCCCTCCCATGAGAATGTTTCTGAGTGTTATAGGGTCTGCTAAGGTAATAATATATTTTAAAATGCATAGAGCTTGCTGCCCAGCGAGGGTATACGCTATAATAATTATAATTGTTATTATTATTATTATTATTATTCATAGTTTTCTTTATGTTCTTGCTGACAGGCTAACCAGGATCTTCTCAGGTGGACATAATGAGGAGGATGGTGGTGCTGGTGTCTGAGTACAGCTATGACAACGGGGCGAGGGGGGGTGAGCCTCCTGTGGTGTTGCCCAACGTCACCAACATGACCTCTCTCAACATCATGGAGAACAGCTGCATGAACAATTTCAACACTGTTGCCTGTGTGAGGTAGGAGTGCCAGTGCTGGTTTAGTTTCCATCACGCTTTTTTCCCCCCCTCTATTTTTAGGTCTTCTACGTTTTAATATAAGAAAACTAATGTTTAGAGTTGTAAAATTATATAGGCCCAAGCTCTGCTATAAAATATTCAAGATAACTTGGAGATTGTAACATTGATACTGGAGTTGGGAGGGGGGGGATTGTGGGTCCAGCACTTTGATACTCTTAGGTATTGCATTTCGGGGGGGGGGGGGGGGATGGTCTGTTGACGTCCCATAGGGAGGCAAACAAAATTACAGTTGAGGGTTTTACCATATCCAAACTCTTTTAACATTTTTGGGAATACATGAACTTCTCTCTACATGATGACGCTGGTTGGAAGGACAACAGCAATAGTGACACTGCACTCTTAAGATGATTGCTATGTTTTTTTAGAGGGGAAATCAGTGGGCACTTATTTTCATAATTGTTTTTTATTTTTTAATATTTTGGGTGCACAGCCAAGGGTTGTGCCTTAAGATCAGCCGTAAATTATATTTAAAAAATTTTATAAGAAGATTTAAGATGGGAAGTACAGTAAAGAAAGAAAATTAGACAATTCGCTACCTTAGAATCGCAAGGTTCTGTCTGACGTTTTTGGCTGTTTTGAGTTACTTAGACCATAAAGTCAGAAACCAAATGTTCTATCTACTGTATCAAAATTGTAAGATTATTTGAAGTCGTTATCAGGATATCCAAAGAATTGAATTAGAAAAAGCTTGACATGTGAAACTCTAATTTTTTTGGGTAAAATTTCGCAAAACTAGCTATTGAGCGGGTAAAACTTTGCAATTCTGAAGTAGCAAATTATTTGTCTCTCTACCCCTTTCAGGAGCGGCATTCTGGCTGGTTTGGCAGCCTTGACAGCACTTCTGTGTATTGTTAAGCTTGTGCGCTTGCACATAGCACGACATCCTTCTTGCCATCAATATGTCATCTTCTATGCTGCTGCGTTGGAATGTGTTACAGGGTATGAGCTGTTCATTTTTTGGTTCTCTCTCTCTCTCTGTCTCTCTCTGTCTCTCTCTCTCTTTCTCTCTGTCTCTCTCTCTCTCTCTGTCTTTCAAACCCCCCCCCCCCCCCCCTCCTCTCCCCCGTCTTTCTTTTTGTTGTGTTTTAGTCATTTTTAATGTGTGGAAGTTTTTCATGGGATCGTATTGGACTTTAATTAATCTATGGACCCTGCGTACCAAAGCCATGTCTCATGCTATTGTGTAAATCTAGCGGTGAACCCAAAGGACCTCAGGTATTTGGATGCCTGTAGGCTCAGGGGTTGAAAGGCTCATGGAGTTAAAGCTCTCAAGTTATTTTCTCTAAACATTGGATCTGTTGTTCATTTCTTACTGAAATGTAAATTGCTTTGTATTGTAATCTTGCTCCCTTTGAAGTATAAATTTTTCCAAACTTGACATCTCTGTGTTCTGCTGGATGCAGTTTTGCCATATTAAACTTTCATCCCACGTGACCAGAGTTTTGGTCAGCTTACTCACTATGACTTCCAGCTGCAGCAGAAGAGGGAAGAAGAAAAAAAAGAGAAGATTTGATTCAGATGAGGGAAAAAAAAGTCTACCGACTTTTTCAGTCAGCCATTGTGTTTCGGTAAAAATTATGTAGCTTAGCTACAAACTTCACAAACGTTTCACTTGTTGCTAATGACAGCTAGCTTTTAAGAACTTTGAATTTATATATGAGGAGTCAATGGAAAAAATAGGAATAGTCACAAACTGAAGATTGTGAGGATATCGATTTTGAGCGCTTGTTGACTCATAACTGTATTTCTGTTCAACTGTTGGTTAGATTTTTCATTCAACAAACATAACAGTGGACCACAAGTCAAACAAATATGAAGTTATGAGTCCACAAGCTTTTAGAATGGACACCCTCACAATTTCCAGTACGTGGCTATGCCCGTTTGTCCCGTGGACTCCCCATATATGTAAACTTTTATGTGTTATAGGGCTAATATGTAGTGACAAACAAAGACTGTGGAAGAAGTCTTTATGTTTTTGAATGGCATGGACTAAATTTTTAAAAATTAATCATCGAAAACCAAATAAAAAGATTTTTAATGTCTTTTTTCCCTACAGGGATAAGGTACAAACGTTTTTACTACCCAGCTCATGTCCGCCCTTCTTTTTCGGCAGGGGCATCCACTGGATCTTCTGGAACGTGAGTCAGCTGGACTTCTTGCTGCAGTACATGAAGCTTCTGCAAGTCCTCATCATGTCACACTACTACATCACCTTGGCCATCCGTGCCCTGCGCAAGGAAAATCTTGCTGACCGGTAAGTCATCTTTTTATATTTGGAAATCAATGGGCACTTATTTTCATATATTTTTGTTAATTTGGGGGCTTATGGAGTTATTGGTTAAAGCCTGTTAATTTGCCTTGCTTTTTTAAATAGAAGTCAAGATATTTTTTACAATTGAAGGAGGTGCCTGTTATCAGGGATAACTTAACGAAAAATGGCCGCAAAAGTTTGGTGACTTCCAAAGCTGTAATGTCCTTGGAAACTGCCAATTTACAGTCTTTGGGTGTTTGATTAATGATTTTCAGTAAAATCCACATTGAATTTTGTATTTAAATGGACATACAAGGTCTTGAGCCTGGAATTATCAAAAATTGATAAAAATTACCCAATGGGTGGAAAAATCTGTTTCTTCAATTTCATTATTTTGACTAGCGCCTGATTTCTCCACGACACACATACAAATATAGATCTTTAAAAGTGTGGGTGATTTTCTTTTGAGTTTTCTGCTCCTTTCATAATTTGATATCTCCTTTATGTATACATAAATTATGTGGATTGTGTAGTAGTGATGGCTTGCATTTGCTTTGTCTACAGATTCCTGTACCCATTCCTGTGTGTTGCTGTCCTTTACTTCACCATCATTACTTCACTGGGCATTTTCAACACTGCATCTGCTTACATGGAATGTATGGGTAAGCTGAAAGTGGGCTGATTTGGTTGTTTTTATTGATCCAGTGATAAAGGGGTTATCCAAGTCCAGTGGCAAGGGGTAGGACTTGCACAATGAAAGTTGTGCCTGTTTAGTTTTGTACCACCACCGGCTTGAAAGTTGTACCCTTAGTTAAGACCCTTTACAGTATTTTTCTAGGGTCTTCCAGCTACAATCATCGGATTCGAACTGATTTCTGCGAGTAATGAGTACTCACGAACTCCCAATAATGTTGAAATATTGACTGAGCAACAGCTTTACTCATTATGTGATCAGATGTTTCGGCTCCTTTCAGGCACTTGTGAGTAATGGGGTTTTTTTTTTTACTGCTGAGAAACTCATCAACATCATGATGATCACTTAGTATTGGAAAAAATTGAGGCAGGCAGACTGAAACTACATGGGGATAGTAAAGAAGAAGGATCTTGTTGACATTCCCCTGAAAAGAAAAATATTTTTTAAAAAGAAAAAAACCCCACTCATACAACCCCTCCCCCCCCCCCCCCCCCCAAAAGAAAACAACAACAACAAGCAAACAAAGACAAAAGCAAACAAAACAAAAACAACGAACAAAGCAACACACACACCAGTATGAGTAATGTAGTTTTTTTGTCTGCCTCCCCGCTTTCTCAGCTCCTTATTGGCTGGCCCTTTCGGGCGCGGAGCTGGTCATCGTGCAACTGTTCGCTGTGTCTGGCTTCTACATCACCCGCCGCCTCAATGAGATCAGCACCCTGGACTCTGTGCGCTGGGCTCAGAAAAGAGACCTCTGGTGGTGAGTGTCACCAGCCCCCGCACATGCATGCATCCCCACTTTCTCTTCCCAATTTGGTACTTAACTGAAAATATTTATTTATTTCATACATATAAATGAAAAAGTTGATAGAGAACCAACATGATATTAACCTTATGCTCCCCCCTCCCTGAGCCTGCCAAACCTGTGTACGCTGAGGTAACAAGATAAAGAAAAATTAAATCGACTAATATGGAAAGCATGTAAAATTTCAACATCTACATTCCCCTACTTGGATGAATTGTACATAGCAGCTTGCACTAAAAAAAATCCATCTTTTTAGACAACTAACATCCCTTGTTCCCTCAAATAAAAACATCAGTCATAAGTAAAAGACCTAGGCTTCTGATCTGTAACAAAGAAAGATATAGAAGGTCATTTTTACCATCATCTATCAAAATGCTTCCATCTTAACCCTAACTCTGGCAAGTGGTTTCAACAGGAATGGCAGGGCCAGTCAGCCAAAACGTGCACATGCTTTACAAATCAAATTTATGGACTTGCATCAAATAAAAACCCTACAAAAGTATATATTTTCTGAAAGATAATTGAATGAACTTTTATATTTTACCATTGAACATATGATTTTATTTTATTTTCAAGGGGTTATGTAACTTTGAAATCCAAGATGGCTGACATAAAAAATTTACATGCTCATTAGCATATTCACCAATCTAATGTATTCCTTGTTATAAAAAATGTGAGATAGCAGAAATGTGGGTTTTTCAATTACCTTTCAGAAAATGTATAGTTTTATAGGTTTGAGAAGAACAGGTAATGAGTTATGACTGTTTCAATTTGTCATGTGGTCTGTTTCAAACGCAGCTGATACTCGCTAATTTTATACCAAACTCAACATAAAAACACTCTAAGTACAACCATGTGGTTTTCAGCAATCTGCTGGTAGTCTGTAATAATTAGTATAGCAAAAGGAACCTACTTTACTCTATAGCTCTCCTTTTTCTGCCCCTATTAGACTCCCAAAGTAGTAGAATCTAGTGTTCCATTTGAAAGAGAAGTCGGGGCAGGATGAGAACTGGTAATGTATCCCCATTGTCTGTCAGATCTAATCCCAATCTTGACTGAACACAAATAAATCCACCACTAACAGTGTCTGAATTACTTTCCCTAGTCAATTCACTTTCAAATGTATCCAAAAAAGATCGATTTTTGGCCATTTTAGACCCACACAAGTGATAGATCTACACTGGCATTAGTGGCTTGTGACCTGATCAACAAGCTTTCAAAACATCCCTCTGTTTTGAAAGCAAAATACTCTTCTCCTAAGCCAGAATGATAGAAATATTCTGATTGGTTGTAGGTTAGCCTTTTAGCCAATCAGAAATCACTTTAGGAAGCCCCAAATATTTAGTTGGAAGGCAGAAGCAGCAGTTTACTATATGGTCCTATGAGATCGGCCCTGCCAGTTTCATGGCAGGAAATGGGCCGATCTAATCGGCCCTTGCCAGAGTTAGGGTTAACCATCTTGTATACGACCTTAGAGCGTGCCTCAAAATAACATTGAGTGTGTATCTAGCTTACGATTATTATTGTTTATATTGCTGCTCATTTATATTATGCATGTGATTGTAAGCCTACGTGTGTGTTCGTGTGTGTGTGCGTGTGTGTATGTGTGTGTGTGTGTGTGTGTGTGTGTGTGTGTGTGTGTACACGTGGTGAAACACCAAACCAATGTGCCAGGATCTGGACAATAAAGATGTATCTTATGTGTTTGTGGGGCAGAATGGTAAAGGTTGTCATGCTAGCAGGTGCCCTTGGGTCCATCCATCAGGTTAAGGATGCCAGTCTTTTGGAAATATGAAGTGTTAAAGCTACAGCCAGGATTTTCCTGTCTATGAATGAAAATGTGTGTATCTGTTTATATTCTTGTGATGATTACGTCTTTAAGAGGTTCTGAGATTTTCTTGTCTATGAATGAAAATGTGTGTATCTGTTTATATTCTTGTGATGATTACGTCTTTAAGAGGTTCTGAGATTTTCTTGTCTATGAATGAAAATGTGTGTATCTGTTTATATTCTTGTGATGATTTACGTCTTTAATAGGTTCTGAGATTTTCTTGTCTATGAATGAAAATGTGTGTATCTGTTTATATTCTTGTGATGATTACGTCTTTAATAGGTTCTGAGATTTTCTTGTCTATGAATGAAAATGTGTGTATCTGTTTATATTCTTGTGATGATTACGTCTTTAATAGGTTCTGAGATTTTCTTGTCTATGAATGAAAATGTGTGTATCTGTTTATATTCTTGTGATGATTTACGTCTTTAATAGGTTCTGAGATTTTTACTTGATCCCCTTTGCTACTTGAAGTGTAGCATTTGTAACGTTGCCTCGCGATGTCGATTGCCTGTGGTTTGGCTTCAAGGCCCGCGATCTATGTGCCACAGTTTGATTTCCAGGATAGGCTTGATGTGTTCACACAAAGTGTCCTTTCTTTGCCTGGGTGGGAATGGGTACTCCACTAAAATCATGAAAGATCTTGTCAGTATGTTGGTCTCTGAGCGCATGTAAAATGCCATCTTGTCCTGAATGTCTCCCACACTGCTTTTTAGGTCTGTGTCAGAAGTAGTGATCTATTGTATAATATATAGACCCAATTTTTCATTAGCAAAGTCTGATTGGTGAATGAAGTCAATCATTTATAGTATTTTTCAACATTTTATTATGATTATTATTATTATTGTTGTTGTTATTGTTTATCATTTTATTATTTTAAAAAAAAATTGATTTGGTTACCCAGACTTCCATGTTTTTCGTTCCCACAGCATTGTCATTGTATTTGAGCTGTCAGCACTGGTCACTTTCATGTACGACCTCGTTCTGCAGATAGGTGAGTAACGCCACCGTACTTCTTGTCATTGTAAGAAGATTATTTGTGACAAAGATAACAGTGATAGTATTACTTATAAATAACAACAATGTGTATGATACTGATGATAGCGTAGGAGAGAAAATTCCTTTTTTTTGCCCGCATTTGTATTTGCAGCATACAGGCATTGGCCGAAGTGCTGAATGAAACTTGCATGATTTTGAATGTAAGTTGTTTTGGTACAGAGTTATGTGTATTGTTAATTTACAGGGGGGTGGGTGTTGAGTATGTTACTGAAGAATTTCATACAATGATGTAGGTTTTAATTTTCTAGAGGTGAATTAAGCTAGAAAAATGGGGCTATATTGCTCAAGGCATGTTTCGGCTTCACTTATAACACCTCTTATCTAAGACACTTATAAGACCTAACTGTGTTGCAAGTACTTTGAAACTCTTACTAAAACAACAAGAAAAATCACTTGAAGAGGAGGCGATAGTGTGCCCCTCATTTGCCATTCCACCTATTGCGTATGGAGAGGGACTCTGACACACTGTTTTCTGCAGAGCTGTTTAGCAGACGGACATCTGTAGTGTATTGATTAGGTGCTTCACCTGTGTATGCAGGCAGAAGATGTGAGTCTGGTTCCCACATGGGGATATTTTTTCAAGTGTGCCCAAATGTCATTTGGGATGCTCTGTCGATAGAAGCCTGCTTTGGCTCTAGCAGGTAGGGTCGAAGCAGATCTCTCCTTGCTGACTTGAGTGTAAAATATTACAACCAATCATTTACCATCTTCCTTTATAAGGTTTTTTCTCTTTTTGATACAGTCTATCTAAAGAGAAACTGTACAAAATATTTAAACGATGATGACCTTGCTTTCAAAAGAACGTCTTTGCATCTCAATATCTAGTATCAAATCTGAAGCAGATATTCGTGATTATAGTTTGAAGCTTATTTTTCTTCTTGGATCTGCTTATAAAAGCAATGTCTTCCTAGTTTTTCTCCTTCATGTATCTGTTCAAATTCTCTCAATAAGGTGCTCTTGACCTCTGCCTCTTTTGCTATCTATTTTTCCACTCAGAGCAAGATTATCAAGGTTTTTATGTGGATTTAAGTGTCCCAGAAACAGCATTTGTCTCTTCCTAATTGTTTTTCTAACTGAGCCCCCCAAAAAGGTTTATACATATTTGCTTTCTTCTCCTTCCATGAGATTCTTAAGTTTCATAAGAAGCAAATTTCTGTTCTTTGCTTCATCAGAAGTTAAACTGAAATAAAAATTAGCAGGAGTAATGCAAATCTTGTGATTTTTGTATGATTTCAGTTGGTGATGAGGACACTGGATGCAGTGCGATTTTTGTGAGTATTGATGTTTCATGTGGATAATTAAAAAAATAAAGGTGGTCAAGTTGTGTGGACAGGGAAAATTCATTTCAGATTGTCAGCCTGATGAGGCTGTCCGTGTAAATGTGATTTAAAACAAAGTGTTCTTTTTCAAATGTTGCATGAACAAGGTCAACTGATGTTCGCCTGTTGGGGTCAGAGGGACTAAACTTTGCACCCAGTTTTTTTGTTTTTTTTTAAAGCTGTATTGTCTGCGAAAGAAGGGGGCGACTGCAAAGCACTTTCAATTCTAAGAATAAAAGGATACTATCAATGTATTTTTTGCATAAAAATTCATCATTAACAAATATTTTGTCTTTTTCAGTCCTACCTCCAGATTGTGTACTCTCCACTGCTCGTCTCTCTCATGGTAAGTGTCATAAATGCACAAATATTTCAGCTTTGTTTTGGGGATTTTGTTTTGTTTTGGGTTTTTTAAACTTGAATTTGACACTTACAAAAGACTACAATATCATATTGTTCATGAATCAGACTCATTGAAATGACTGTGAAATGCATTCTTCATGAATTACGCTGGTTAGAATGACTGGAGACTATTTGGTTCACTATTGGGGCCCTTGGTAACGATTTAAGAAAATGTGGTCCCTGAATTAAACACTTTTGACAGACTGGAGAATGTTTTGTTAATGCATTGGGCGCTTAGGAAAGACCAGAGATTCTTTTGACCACGAATGGAGTTCTTAAAAAAACATTTACAGTCAATAAAACTTGTCTTCCTGTCATCCGTCAGGTGCTGAAGCTCCTCCTGCCTATCTGGGTGATGCTGTTTGTGTTCCAGCCTCATGTGACTGTGACAGAGAGGGATGACATCCTGCCAGCATTCAGCGAGGAAGGGGTGAGTACTGCACAGCTCTTCTTTTTACCAGTTCTTTTGTATACAGTATAACACTGATAGGTCGAACACAGAAGACTAGAAATCATGCATCCATTGAACTGTGCCCGCACTCCCGTTCTTAATTTCTTCTTTATCTTTGTAAGATATCCATAGAACTACGGATCCCTCAAACTATTGAGGCTGGTCCCGACGAATCTGAGCTATCCGTGTTATACAGTTTATATTTGGCTCCCTACTCTAAGGTATCGGATTAAAGGGGGGTAGGAATAAAAAATGGGGTGGGGGGTGGACAAGTGGTCCAAAATTAATAAACGGGGGGCACATTCAACCTCATACCACTGTACTAGTCGGAACAATTCTGTTTTATTTCTCTCTCAGTAAATAAAAGAACAAGAGATCATGAAATTTTAGTGATTTTAGTAAATTACTGTGACAACTTTTCCCATTTAGGAACGAACCAGTTTCATTAAAAAATGTAAACCAATGTACAAAAGTTTTTAATATGCACAGAAAATTGAAGTAGCCAACCTGGTACTGGTACTAATACTGAGGGTAATTTACTATTTACCAAAAAGAGTTTCATTCAGATATCTAGATTCTTGTGTTTCACATGATTGACGGTCTTGGCAAGCTGGAAAATAATAAATGGGGATATGGAATAAGGAGGGGGAGGCAAAAAAAACTTGAAAAATATTAAACAGGCTTATTTGATAACTTAGAGTACTCCAGGACCAGTTTGAGTAACATAACCGAGGAAAAGGAAAGAAGTTGGGTGTCGATTGTGTGTAGGTCCTTGGAAAGCTGTGATTTTGCTCCCTGTGCTAGCGGACCTCTGTGTTTCTACTGCTAAGAAGCCAAGGATGTTTCTTAGGGTTTTCTGGGGTAATAATACAGATTGTAAAGCACATACGGAATCATAACGATTTTTGTTCAATTTTACGTAAATACGATTGTAAAACCCTTGATCCTGATTTTTCAAAATGTATTTGCCATTCAGCCGCTGCAACCCATTCCCACCCTCTCACAAAATAAGAAAAAACAATCTTAACCAGTTAGTCCTACGTCTACTCAATATGTCATCTGCAGCTGTCTTGCACTTTCTGTGCACAGAGCCAATTGTATAGAAGTTTCTCAGTGCCACTTTGCCCTTGGGAAAACTGTTGTGCGAAAGCCAGGAGTAAGGCAAACATTAGTTTGACAAGGTGTTAAGAATTTTCCTTCTCTATACCCTTTCCAAATGAGAGATTAAAAAAAGAAAATAGATAAATAACTTAATGAGAGCCTGCCAAAAACTCTTTCATTAAAAAAAAGTTTTAATAGCAAGTTTAGAAAAGTTTCTGTCAGTACACATAGGTAAAATTCCATTGTTTTAAGTCAAGCTAAAAATTCTGTTAACGAATAGGAAGTCCACTCTTCCCAACTGCTTATGATAATGTGGACATTATTTGGGAACATTTAGTGCTTTTTAAAAACCAGGCGACTCCTCTCATGGATCAAATTTAGTGACATTGTAGAAGAGAAAACATTTCTGGGGAGAATTTTGCATTTTGGTATTTCTTTGCTGGAGGAGGCTGTTAATTTGTGTTTTTGGAAACTACTACCTTATTTATTTATTTATTTATATTCTGGAGGAGGCTGTTAATTTGTATTCTTGGAAATTACTACCTTATTCGTTTATTTATTATTTAAAATTATTTTTTTACATAAGTTTTTTTGGGGTGCCTTTATTTGGATACTTCTACCAGAAAACTTATCTGTGATCCTTTTACCTGTCCCCTCCCTCCCCACAGACGTATGGGTCTATCTTTAGTGATGACCAGTCATACCGCCAGCTCTACCAACCTGCGGACAGCTTCTGCTACAGCACACCCACCCCGTCCCCCACCAGCTCCCCATCCATGTACGACCCGAGCGTCCCGTTTACGTACACCAACCCAGCAGTGGTGCGCTCGGGGCTGCAGACCATCGCTGAGGAGAACAATGATGACGGAGAGAAGAAGAAGAACCTCCAGCAGGTCTGTTTAGTGATTGACTCGTTCTTTGTGGACATGTAAAAAGTTGCCAGTTTACAATATGATTTTAAAAAATTTTTTCATTACACAGCACATATTTTTTTTGTACTGCGAATTATACCTGTTATCCCGTTTTACTTATTTTTTGTCCGTTGTCTTGTGTAGTGTTTTTTTTTCATTTATGGATTTGTTGCTATTCGGAGTTAGCTTTTTAGTTTGCACCCTTGTCTAAGGCTTAATGGATACTCATCCGTTTCATAAAAAGTTTAGGCATCTTTGTTGTAATGGTTTGGCTGTATGAATTTCATGCAAGAGACTTGCGATTGATCTCCTTGTGGTGAAAATAATTTTGTCAGGTGTCTTTGTCTTTTTGATGTGATGTAGTATATCGGGTGGATGGTTGGTGGGTGCTCTGTTATGGTTTGCTTCTTCTTTCCTATCAAACATCTATCATCTTTATCTCCCCTCCTTCTTTTTCATGTTTGTTACTCTCTTGTAACACCTCTAATCTTTGGCACTTATATGACCTTATTGTGTTGCAAGTGCCGTAAAGCTCTTACTAAAATATATCATACATACCTTGTACGGCCTGACAGGCAGGGTCAAAACTGTCCGCTTTAAAGAATGTAAACGGTGTTCTTTTGGCCGTAAGATAGTCATGACTGTTATAATGAACCATAAAAACACTGCAAAAGCACTGTTCCCTGGGGGGTCACTGGACATATTACAGCCAGATATGCACATGTGGCTTAGGGAAATTTATATTCGAAGCTCTGCAAGTGGAAAGTGTTGATATTTGCTGGTGAATACGCAACAAAAGTCTTATGCCCGCATTGGTTAAGCGTATAAGCAAAGGTACGTGGTCTTAGCGTCAGACATTTTAAAAGAAAAATCACCGTTTCTTTTCTCTACGTGGTCATTAAGCTACTTTTTATGGAAAGGGTCTTAGTATTTGATAGCTTATGCTTGTGAAGGCCAGAGACCGAATGTCCATCTTCTTTTTTGCGAAGAAGTCAGGAGTTGAGTTACAATAAAAATAAATTCTTTTTTTTTCTCCTCAGACCGCTGCACCTGCACCAGCTCCTCCTGCTCCTCGCAGTGGCGGGTCCCCCAAGGCAGAGAGGTCGAAATCTCGTCCAATCAGAACCCAGGGACAGTACCAGAGGGGGAAGTATGTCACCCGGATCGTGTCAAAGGAAGGCCAGAAAGGCGGAGACAACTTTTAGTCTGCATCATTGGCTAATACCTAGTGGCCATTCGAGGATCAGTTTGGTTTGGTTGGGTTCGGTTTCTGGTGGCTTTATTGCACACGAAAAATAGACCCCTGCCTCAAACCAATAGCCCGTCTAGCGGCCTTGAAAACAAATGAGCTTGGTCTTGAAGGTCATCATCGGTTTCGTTCGGTTTGTGCCTCGCTAGTAGGTTTCTCCCTCCATGGAGGAAAATCTGGCTAGCCCCGGCGACCAAACCAATGACGATCTTACCATTGGGCATTGGGTATAAGCCATCGTAGCTTATGGAAGTAGCGGCACAGAACACAGATGACAGCTAACAGCTTGCATGAGAGGCAAATCGGCTTTGAGGTGCACCACACGTTAGATGGAAGCGTTCGTTAGATGGAAGCGTTTCAAGAGTTTTATTCTTCAAGACTTGGCAATAGCCCCTTTCTTGTCCTCTTCTTTTTTCCTTTTCTCTTCTCAATTAAGTATGGATAATTATTATTTTATTCCTCTCTCTCTCCATTGGTCTTCTGACCTCTCTTGATTTTATTATTACATTGAGAAGACACGGATAATCATTCATAATGACTTTGATCTTATTGTCTTATAGCAAAGTGTATTTATTATTCGACATGTGTGTATGTGTGTGTTTATACTCACATACATATATACATGTGTGTGTGTATGTGTGTCTATATGTATATATCTATTTATGTATGTATACACGCACATATATGCATATATTTATACACAAACTCACACTTATAAACACATATACGTTTAAGTGTGTGTGTATTTATATGTGTGTACATATATATATATTTTTTATTGATCTCGGTGGTCTTTATTTACTTATTATATTGTTTTCATTAATACTGCCAGGTCTTAGCTGTGTGTTGCATTGTATGCAATGAATAACATTTATACAATCTACTCTAGGCATGTTGTGGATTTCACAGACGTACCTGTAACTATGTTCCTTTAATAATTTTATGGGCGTGTACAAATGTCCCAGTCCTTAACTCACTCTGAACTCAGAGAATCATCTCCTCCTACACAGGTGATTTCACACTGTGTCTGGTGTTTGTGGAGGGAAATCTGTCTCATTTATTTTATTTACTATTGTAAATTGTGTATGTACTGTAAAACTTCGGATATTGTTTTCTCCTTTGGTCACTGTCCAAAGTAAATTCAGATCAAGGGAAGCCATGATGGCAAGGGACTTTCGCGTTTTTATTTGTATGTACATGCACATGCGCACGCATACGCGCAAACACACACACACACTTGCACACGTGTGTGTGTGTGTGTATGTGTGTGTGTGTTTTACATGTTACATATTTAACATCTGTCCTTTGCCCTCCTCTCTAAACATGTACCCTTTTGAGAAAAAGATATTTGCGATGAACTTTCAACAGTTTTACATATAATTTTTATTTGCATATCATGTATTAATGTGATTTTGATTTGCTGTTACCCTTAATGTGTGAACTGCAGATACTCGTACTTATAGGCTGTAACTTTTATAATGATGAAGTTTACAGATACACAGAGGGGAGCTTTTGATAAAGTTTATTTTATGTTTTATATTCATCATAAACTTGTGTCCCAATGGTAAGATGGTACAAGGTGTCTCAAATGTCTAACTTGTGTCAAAATGGTAAGATGGTACAATGTTTCTCAAATATCGCCAGACTGCACCACTGTGTGTCTGTTGCCACCATCAGAATAAGAATTAGATATACAGACAAGGCTCCCATGTTCAGGATAATTTGGTTTGGTCATTTGAGAGAAAGCGTCATTTTCAGGTTGCTAATATTGATTCCAATTGTTTCGTGGCTGTTTGAAAAGTGATATAATATAGGCCTACGTTAAGCTTTGGTGTCTCTGACTTTGGAAAATGTACACAAAGGGATGACATTATTAGAATTTACCCAATATTCTTCTTGCTTTCTCCTGTTGTCATAGAAAGATAAATGTACACTGAATGTCAGGTATCACATTGAGTATCTCAACAACATGGAGGCTACAAAATAGTTCAATGAAGCTGACACATTATCAGTTTTTTTGTAAATCGATTTTTAATTTGTAATTGCAGTTCCTCAGCAGTTTCAAGAAATTGAATGCAAACCCCTGTGAACTGGTGCTAGTCCTTGAATGGCCAAACTGACTTACACCAGAACTCTGTAGCTCATTGTTCTCTTGAACTTGGAACTTTTTTGATCCGCCTGCCTTTAGACTTCTGTTCTTATGCAGTTTTTTGTGTTTTGTCCCATTAGTCATATGTTTTACTTCTGGATTTCAGGCCTTTCTTCATATCGCGAAATGGAAATTGAAGGGTTCATCTGGATTTGTTTATGTGCTTGAAAAAAAAAAAAAAGACAGAAATTAAGATGGGAATAAGTTATAAAATGTTTCTCTTCGCCTATCATGTAGCTTTCACTTTACCAATGTGAATTCTAACCTAAATAACTTTTTTTCGTATTGTATTCAAAATGTTTTCACAAGTTGTCACTTTACATATTATTGAGAGGAAATTTGTCTTGGTAGACTAAGTGTATATACAACAGTGCAGTGGGCAGATATTCCTATTCGTCGTTTTATTATTGACTTTGAATGAAAAAAGTAACTGGTGTGTCTGTTTCTTTGCAATAGGAAACAGGATATACATCTATTTGACATATTCATGAACTAAACTTTTATTTCATCTGTGATCTACATCAAGGATTTAGAATGGGTGTTGTGCAATAAATTCACGCTATACATATGTTGACTGCAGACTTTTTTTTTTCTCAGGTGTGGCAGAGAGATGTGTTCACAAGGAAAAGAAACTGATTTTAAAGTATTCCTTTACTACCATTTTTATGTTTGTTTCTTGTTAATTAATATTTTTTTCTCAGGATAGGAATTACTTGTTTTGTAAGGTGCTCCCACAGCCTGGTGTAGGCAGGGCTTGAGCTTAGTGCCCTCTTGTACAAACTCCCTTTTTCCCAATTTTAACATAAATCACTTTGAAAGCACTAAATTCCAGTTGTTTAAAAGGCAGTTCATACAAAATGAAACTCTATGGAATCCGGAGCATTAACAGCAATTCTGGGCTGAAAGGGAAGATTTTTTCAACATCCTTGACAGCTGTGACACACTCGCAAAAGTTGGAAGTTGGTGTTAGTATGAGATGGCACTCGCATCAGGACAGGCTATGTAAGTGAAAGTCTGACATGTACAGTCTGAAAGACTATCGTGAAATGTTAACAAGCTATGTTACAGCTTTGAGGTTTTATTTTTCCTTCTCCTCTGAACACGTTAATTTTAAAAGCTTTTATGTCATTTATCGAGTCTACTTTTGTCTCGCGGTAAAATGTTTTGTCTTTCTCTGAAGAAAGCAGGGGCTGTGAGAACCATTTTATTTGTGAAAATTCTGCTTTTTTATGAAGCTTTTATTACTGCCAAGATCCTGTTCTGGAACATGAATTTCAGAGACCTTTACAAAAGGGGTCGAAACTACTAGTCTCACAAAGTCATATATTATCTACCCTGAGGGCTCATTAAAATTGAAGCATTGTCACTGAAATCTGTTCATATTATGTGTTACTTGTGGTTACATTGCTTTTACAGTCATCTGTTAGTCAAGTGTTTCAAGTTTTTATCAGTGGTTGGCACCATTCTGCAAATGTGTGAAACACCCAACACTTGCATATGGCGTGTCATGAGATTGTCATATTGGCATGAAATATTAGGCTGATGCTTCTCAGTAGACCCTGTTGTTGTTTCATATCATCATCATCAGCAGCAGCAAAAATGAGCTACTTCTTTATCAAAAAGCCTATCAGATTATCTGTTCTGGTCACAAGAGCAATTCTCCTCTTTTAATAAAAGCGTCAGCATTTTTGGTATTAAGAAATAATTGCAAGAAAGCAGACTTCAATTGGTTTTCATGTATCCCTTGCAAAACAATGACATATACTGTATTTATCAAAGATGAATCTCAGTGCTGGGTTAGTGTTTACGAATGTTTATAAGACTAAACTTTTTAGTTGAGACTTCCAGCAACAGACAAACTAACCTGCCCTCATCCTGCTTTTAATTAATTTATTTTTTATCAGATTCTGTGTATTGTTTGATGGCTTTGTGCAATTGAATGTCTTTAAAATTATTTGTAAAGAAAGTTCAGTTTCAGACTTGTGTCTGTATTGAAAAGGTTGTTTTTTTGTTGCTGTTGATTTAGCTTTGATTGTTGTTCACCTCGGGTTACTTCATCTCATTTCATTGTGATTTCATTCCATATGTTTGGGGGAGTTTCTAACTGAGCTATCTGTATATTTCTTGGGATGTTTGTCATCGGCCAGCTGTTCAGATGTATTACGCCCAAAAATGTTTTAAACGTTTTTATTGCAGTTTTCGAACATATGAACGTATGGTATCAGTCACATGTGCTGTAGAAATATTTTGTCCAAATACACATAGATAAAGGAAAATATACATAATGTAAGTACAGCTGTTCGAACAATGAAACAGGGTTTTTTTCCCCTTTCTTGAAAAATTTTGCATTCTGGGTTAAGATTTGGTCGCTTTGGCAAGGGGGCTATCCCGATAAACGCTGTTTTTAGAAAACCGAAGGTAAAGTTTTTTCCCCTTGTTCAATTTCTTTAAAAGACCAGGAGAGTTTTCTCTATAACCAAATAAATATACACACGGATGAAACGAAACTTCTCCCATAGGTAGGGCAATTCCCGCTTTTGGTGTGTCAAGATTTCTGGAAACTCCCGAAATCCGGGTTAGGTCGCTTGTCCTTAAAAGCGACTTTTTTTTGGAACAGCTAGCCGATGTTATACTCCTTAAGATCAAATAGCTTTGTATTACTGCTTGTTATTGCTGATCTCCCAAGACTCATCTCTTTTTGTGTGAGGAAGTGTGTCCATGTCATGGAGAGAGAGAGAGAGAGAATGCGTTTTTTAGAAGTTCGTTTTACTTGCTGATGTATAACATGAAGTGACTTTTTATGCAGATATGTACATATATATATGTATCTAGTCATGTTCAAATCTATAACTTTATAACTGTTTCATCCTCCATCTACAAGGTGTATTAAGAGGGGTTTCCCACTTGTCAGTCATAAACTTTATACCAATCAAAATAATAACAGTACTTAATTGATAGTTGTCACAACAAATAATAAGGGTTCTTAAGGCTACTTTACAGAGGCAGGTTCTCACATATATTTATCAATCATTTTATGTAAAAACATGCTCTATATATTATACTTCTCAACATTATAAATGAGCCATATTCTTAAATATTTGTCTCTTTCTTACATGGTTTTATCTTCCTATGCTTTAATCTTCATGGTCTTAATAATTAGCTTTCTTTAATGTATACCTTGACATTTTCTCATGATTGTAAAGGTGGAACGTTTTGACCCTGAAACTCATAAAGTGCGTGCCTGTAGAAGAAATTTCTGTATGTTAACTCTTGTTTTCCTGAAAGGGGTTCAATGTGTGCTCATATCAGAATTTTTGTGGACTAAAAAGAGTTGATGCGTTGATATAGTTCCTTGTTTTGTGCAAAGGATTGCATGTGTCTGGGTATTACAATTGATATGATGAGTTGACACTCTGATAAATGCTTGTCTTCTGCCCAGTCACATCACTAGTGTACTTGGTAAAGTGTTGGGAGCAGAAATATAAGTCAAAATTTCTGCGTTTT